TGCTCTTTCTGACGCTGAGAAAAGAGAGATATCGGATAATATATGAATGGAAGATATGGGAAAAGGCTTGAATATGATACTGACAATCTGAGGCTAACGACATGTGAGTAAACACTTGGGAAAGTCTATTATGGATGCGTATCGGACCTGAGACCTTGTTCACTCGTAATGTACGTAGGTTTATGTAGGAAAATATTCATGTGAAGGTCAAGTGAACCGAACTGTAGTGAGGTCACTTAATGGCTGTGCCCCAAGGTGGAGTCCACGTAATGTATTCAACATGCATGTGCGTCAGCGTCTACCTGGAGTCTACCTGGAGGGCATTCCGGGGATCAACGCCCCCGCGGCCCGGTCCACGACCAGGCCTCCCGATGGATCAGGGCCTGATCAACGAGGCTGTTACTGCTGGCTGCACGCAATCCAACATACAAACCACAGCCCGCTGATCCGGCGCCGTCTTTAGGTATCTGTCCAGCTCCCTCCTGAAGACAACCAGAGGTCTGCCCCTTATTGCTGGTGGGAGGCTGTTGAACAGTCTTGGGCCCTGGACACTTATTGCATTTTCTCTTAGTGTACCAGTGACCCCCCTACTTTTCACTGAGGGTATGTTGCATCGCCTGCCAAGTCTTTTGCTTTCGTATGGAGAGATTGCTGTGTGCATATTAGGGACCAGTCCCTCCAGAATCTTCCAGGTATAGATTATGATATATCTCTCTCGCCTGCGCTCTAGTGAGTACAAGTCAAGTGCTTCCAGGCGCTCCCAGTAGTTAAGGTATTTGATGGAACTTATAGGTGCAGTAAAGGTTCTCTGTACATTCTCTAGTTCTGCAATTTCACCTGCCTTGAATGGGGATGTTAATGTACAGCAGTATTCCAGCCTAGAGAGAATAAGTGATTTAAAAAGGATCATCATTGGTTTAGCATCTCTTGTCTTAAATGTTCTCATTATCTATCCTATCAGTTTCCTCGCAGATGTGATAGTGGCATTGTTGTGGTCCTTGAAGGTGATGACTAAAACTTCCTGCTGTTTGTACTCTCATATTTTTTACTGTTGCCAGAGATAATTATAAAAACCAGCGTCTCCTCAAGTCCGGCTCCTTCATGACAAGCTGGACTTTGTTCCACTTAGTCCAATGTCCCTCAGTGTCTCTGTGAACTATGCAGGCATTACTTTGATAATCCCTACTATACACGTATTTATTTTCGTTGAGCTTTATTGATAGACTTCTTGTCCCATCGTCTACACAGAATAGTGGAACATGCAGGTCACTTTCTGGAGAGATCTTTGATGGACGCTGTGATATCATTCTCGGCAAGGAAAGGACACTGTGGGAAAGGACACTTGTGTACAGTTCGGGACATTTAGTAAAGGAAAGTTTCGCCACGAGTGGCTTCATCAGTCCTAATAGAGAGATAACTAGAACAGATTAATATGTAGTAGGCAGTTTTCCTCACCACAACACACGAGGACTCTGTGCATCTTAAGAACATAAGAAAGAAGGAACACTGTATAGGCCTACTGGCCCATGCAAGGTAGGTCCAAGTCTCCGACCGGCTTAAACCAATGACCCAAAATAGTCAGGTCAGATCACATCCATTTAAGGAAGGAGACCGGCATCAGACCTATTAGCACAAGCTAGTCAGGTCAACTCACACCCACCCACACCCACTCATGTGTTTATCTAACCTATTTTTAAAATTACACAACGTCTTAGCTTCTATGACGGTACTCAGGAGTTTGTTTCACTCATCCACAACTCTATTACCAAACCAGTGCTTTCCTATATCCTTCCTGAATCTGAATTTTTCCACTTTAAAACCATTGCTGCGATATTTTTAACACGATATTTACATTCCATTTATTTATTTCAGAGCCTTCAGTCTGTCTTTATAGGGAAGATTTCTGATACACGGGATCAACTTTGTCATCCTCCTTTGCAGGTTCTCCAGTGCATTTATATCCATTCTGTAATACGGCGATCAAAGCTGTGCAGCATAATCTAAATGAGGGCTAACCAAAGATATATACAGATGAAGAACAACCTGAGGACTCCTATTATTTATGTTTCTTGATTTGAAGCCAAAGATTCTGTTCGCTTTATTGCGAACACTAATGCACTGTTGTCTTGGTTTTAGATTACTGCTAACCAGAACTCCCAAATCCTTTTCGCAGACATTAAAATTAGTTTATATGTGGCATTGTTATTTTCCTGTCCATTGTTTAGAACTTTGCATTTGTCTATATTAAATTGCATCTGCCACTTTTCCGACCACTGCATCAGTCTATTCAAATATCCCTGGAGTGCTATTAATGTCCTCATCAGAATGAATTCGACGGCCTGTTTTGGTGCCATCGGAAAACTTGCTTATGTCACTGTTTATTTCCTCATCTATGTCGTTTATGTAGATTGCGAACAACAAGGGGTCCAACACTGACCCCTGTGGAACACCGATTGTGACGCTTCCCCATTCTCATTTCTCCCCATTTATGCAAACTCTCTGCTGCCTATTAGTCAACCATGCCTCTATCCAGGGAAAATTCCTCCTATTCCGTGTGCCTTAATTTTCCTCAATTGTCTCTGATGTAAGACTCTATCATAAGCCTTTCTGAATTCATATACACAATATCATATTCATTACCATGATCTACCTCCTCAGACACCTTAGTTTAAACATTTTAGAAATTCGTAAGGCAGGAACACCCTTTTGAAACCAGTGCTGAGATTCATTAATCAATTTATGCCTTTCAAGATGGCTACGAATTGCCTCGGAAATTATTGGTGCCATCAATTTTCCTACTATTGAGGTTAGCCTTACTGGTCTAAAGTTCGAAGCTAAGGACCTGTCACCTGCCTTGAAAATAGGTATCACATTTGCCATGTTCCACTTATCTGGCACTATGCCAGTTTGTAGTGATATGTTGAAAAGATTAGCCAAAGGTTTGCTAAGCTCCTCTTTACATTCCTTCAGAACCTTTGCATGCAGTTCATCAGGGCTTGGAGATTTGTTAGGAATTAATTTATCTATTTGTCTAAGGACCATGTCACTTGTGGCCCTAATTGTGCATAGATTATTATCGTTCTGTTCTACATAATTTATTAATTCTGGGAATATCGCTAGTATCTTCCTGTGTAAAAACTGAGAGAAGTAAGTGTTAAATTCTACACATTTCCTTATCACTGTCGGTGAGCTGTCCTGAGTAACTTTTGAGTGGGCCTATCTTGTCCCTAATCTTACTTCTGTATACCTGAAACAATTCTTTTGGGTTATCTTCGATTCCCTTGTGACTTTAACCTCATAATTTCTCTTTGCTTTTTTTTATTCCCTTTTTGGTGTGTTTCATGCATGACATTCAAGGAGATCTGGGGTCTTCGTCTACATTAGTGTACGAAGAACGTGAGGTAGTAAAGACATGAGATCTGCAGAAAATAGGCGCATTCTTCCTGGAGGAAAGCAGGACTGGATATACGAGAAACTTCCAGAAAACCCAAGTCCCTGTTTCCCTCCTGATGTGTGTCGCAGTGCGAGTACAAGTATATCAGACGGAAGTTGTTAGAGGGCTTTCCTGTGTAATCTAAAAGAGAGGGAGCCACTGGGAGTGATCGTGCATAGAGGGGCGTCCATGAACATAAGTCGATCATCTTCCTCCATCTCTAAAGTATAACTGATTGTAGGTTCAGTCGACTTAATTTATCTCAGGAGGTTTAGAATACTAAGGGTCATGGGTACAGCGCCAGGATATTATCGATGTACCTTAATCAAGTTTGAGAACTTGGGATTATGGTGTGGAACTTGTCTGTCTCAGGGTACTACGGTCCACATTATTATTATTATTATTATTATTATTATTATTATTATTATTATTATTATTATTATTATTATTATTATTATTATTATTTTTTATAGTTATTATTATTATTATTATTATTATTATTATTATTATTATTATTATTATTATTATTATTATTATTATTATTATTATTTTTATTATTATTATTATTGTTGTTATTATATTATTATTATTATTATTAATTATTTATTATTATTATATTATTATTATTATTAATGTTGTTTTTGTAATTATTACTATTATTATTATTGTTGTAATTATTATCGTTATTATCATTATTGTTATTTTTATTTGTAGTAGTAGTAGTAGTAGTACTAGTAGTAGTAGCAATAGTGTATTTGTAGTAATAGTAGTAGTAGTACTTGTAGTAGTAGTAGTACTAGTAGTAGTAATAGTTGTTGTTGTTGTTGTTGTAGTAGTTGTAGTAATAGTAGTATTGATAGTATAATTCCTCTGATAATTGATAATAATATCATTATTTCTATTGCCATTATTATTATTATTATTATTATTATTATTATTATTATTATTATTATTATTATTATTATTATTATTATTATTATTATTGTTGTTGTTGTTGTTGTTATTATAATTATTATTATTACTATGATTACTATTATTATCATTATTTTAATATTCTCTCCCATTTTCTTAAGATATTACTTGTGAGTGCAGATTTTTAACAAGCTCTCTTGCCCGCAGTGTACAACTTACAAGCTCTCTTGCCCACTGTAGACAACTAATGCCCTATCCTACCCACTGTACAGAACAAATGTGTCATCTCCTTCCCAGAATAGACAATTAATACCCTCTTTTGCTCACAGTGGACAACTAATGCCCTCTCCTGATCACAGTGCACAACTGATGCTCACATTACAAAACTAATACCCTCTCTTGTCCAAGGTGCACTACTAATACCCTCTCTTGTCCAAGGTGCACTACTAATACCCTCTCTTGCCCACAGTGCACAACTAATACCCTCTCTTGCCCACAGTGCACAACTAATACCCTCTCTTGCCCACAGTGCACAACTAATACCCTCTCTTGCCCACAGTGCACAACTAATACCTTCTCTTGCCCACAGTGCACAACTAATACCTCTCTTTCCTGCTCACAGCAGCTCACAACTAATATTCTCTCGTGCCCACAGAGTGCATGTTGCGGGGTTGCAGTGAGTGTTCTACTCGCCACTACTGCTCTGTTTGCAAGACTGGGCTCCTGCGGCATGCGGGACGGTGCCGCAAGCGGTGTCCCCCAGGCACGAAACTCAGTGCCCGCTCCCCTGGTCTCTGTCTTTCCATACCCACCCCTGCCCCAGGTAAGCTCTCCTTCCTGGCTGCTGTTACAGCAATGTCAGCCGAGGTCACTGAACGATTTATCCATATTGTTGTTAATGAGGGTCCCCACCACAGTTCCAGAGGTGGTACCTCCATATATATATATATATATATATATATATATATAGGTTGGTAGACAGCAACCACCCAGGGAAGTACTACCGTCCTGCCAGATGACTGTGAAACAAAAACCTGTAAACTGTTTTGCTGATGGTAGATTTCTGGTTTCTTTTCTGTCTCATAAACACGCATAAGATAACAGGATATCTTGCTTACTCTACTTACACTTTGTCACACTTCACAGACACGCACATGCATATATATATATACATACATCTAGGTTTTTCTCTTTTTTCTAAATAGCTCTGTTCTTTTTTATTTCTTCTATTGTCCATGGGGAAGTGGAAAAGAATCTTTTCCTCGTAAGCCTAGCGTGTCGTATGAGGCGACTTAAAATGCCGGGAGCAATGGCTAGTAACCCCTTCCCGTATACAATTACTAAAAAAGAAAGAAGGAAAAACTTTTTAAAACTGGGTTGCATTAAATGTGCGTGGATTTTAGTGCGGAAAGACAAGAAACAGATGAAATTTCTAGATGTTTATGAATGAAAGAAGTTGGATGTCCTGGCCCTATAGCGAAACAAAGCTGAAGGGGGTAGGAGAGTTTCAGTGGTGGGGAAATAAATGGGATTAAATCTGGAGTATCTGAGAGAGTAGAGAAATGGAAGGGGTACAGTAAGTTAAATGATCAGTTATGGAAAAGAGTAAAAAGAATATGAATGTGTAAATTCAAAATTATGTGGATTAAAGTAAGGTTGGATTGCGAGAAGTGGGTCCCTAATAAGCGTGTATGCACCTGTATGAAGAGAGGAATGCAGAGGAGAAGAGAGATTTTGGGAGATGTTAAGTGAATGTATAGAGCCTTTTTAACCAAGTGAGAGAGTAATTGTGGTAGGGGACTTGAATGCTAAAGTAGGAGAAACTTTTAGAGAGGGTGTGGTAGGTAAGTTTGGGGGGGTGCCAGGTGTAAATGATAATGGGAGCCCTTTGATTGAACTTTGTATAGAAAGGGGTTTTAGTTATAGGTAATACATATTTTAAGAAAAAGAGGATAATAAGTATACCGATATGATGTAGGGCGAAATGACAGTTGTTTGTTGGATTATGTATTGGTAGATAAAAGACTGTTGAGTAGACTTCAGGATGTACATGTTTATAGAGGGGCCACAGATATATCAGATCACTTTCTAGTTGTAGCTATACTGAGAGTAAAAGGTAGATGGGATACAAGGAGAATAGAAGCATCAGGGAAGAGAGAGGTGAAGGTTTTTTAAAAATAAAAGAGGAGGCAGTTAGGGTAAGATTAAACAGCTATTGGAGGATAGATGGGCTAATGAGAGCATAGGCAATGGGGTCGAAGAGGTATGGGGTAGGTTTAAAAAATGTAGTGTTAGAGTGTTCAGCAGAAGTTTGTGGTTACAGGAAAGTGGGTGCAGGAGGAAGAGGAGCGATTGGTGGAATGATTTATGTAAAGAGAGTAGTAAGGGAAAAAAAAGTTAGCATATGAAAAAGTTTTTACAAAGTAGAAGTGATGCAAGGAGGGAAAAAAGTATATGGAGAAAAAGAGAGAAGTTAAGAGAGTGGTGAAGCAATGTAAAAAGAGAGCAAATGAGAGAGTGGGTGAGATGTTTTTCAACAAATTTTTTTGAAAATAAGAAAAAGTTTTGGAGTGGATTAACAAGTTAAGAAAGCCTAGAGAACAAAAGGATTTTCAGTTTTAAAAAAAGGAGAGGAGGTTATTAAAGGAGAGTTAGAGGTATGGGGGGATGGAAGGAATATTTTGAGGAATTGTTAAATGTTGGAAGATAGGGAAGCTGTGATTTCGGATAGGGCAAGGGGAATAACATTTGTAGGAGTAGGAAGAGCCAAATATTTTAAAATAACTATCGTGACGCCTCACATCCCTGTCTAATGCATATTTTGACTGAAAAAATAATCTCCCTCTTTCTTACATACTCTAATCTGAGCCTTACTATCCACATAAAATCTCATAACTGCTTTAAGTAACTTCCTACCTACTCCATATATTTGTAGCATCTGCCACATTGCTCTCCCATCCGCCTTATCATATGTCTTTTCTAAATTCATAGATGCAGTGAAAAGTTCCATACCTTTATCTAAGTATTGTTCACTTATATGCTTTAATGTAAATACTTGGTCTACACATCCCTTACTCTTCCTAAGACCTTGTTCCTGTGTGATTCATCTTTCTCTGCTACCCATAATTTATCCAATAATTACTATACACTTTACCTGGTATACTCAACATGTTTATTTCCTTACAATTCTTACACTCTTCCATACACTGTTCTCTTATACAAATAAACTATTCATACTCGGTGAGTCCCTAGGTCCCATTCCTTCTTTCATGCACATATTGAACACAGGCATCAACCACTCCAAAACTGTATCCCCAACTGCTTCTAACATTTCTGTCTTAATCGCATTTACACCAGCTACTATGCCCATTTCATTCTACCGCTGCCTCAGGCTCCTCCTCCGCACTCATTTCTAGCTTCTTCCTCATTCCTGAAAGATATTATACCTTCCTCAACACTACATTAAATCAATGCCTCTCTCTTTTCAACATCGAACAATTCTTCATAATATTCCCACCATCTTCCCAGTACTCGCACTTCCCCATCCAGTGACCCCCTCTCTTTTGTTTTTAATTGTTCTCCACTAATTGCTCTCACTGCAAAAACTTTTCTTATTCTCAGTAATTTTCTTTTTAATAATTCCTCACTGACTCTTTCTCATTAGTTCTCCTTTTGCACTCCCTCACAACTCTTTTAGCCTCTCTTTTACTCTCCATTTACTCCACCCTCCTTATATCACATCTGCACTAAAATCTCTCGCCAACTTTATCTCCCCATTCTAGCAATGGCCCTTCTTCCTTCCCGCACTCATTTTCAATACCCACAAACTGCTGCTGCACATTCCAACACTGGATTTTAAAATCAACCCCATACCTTTCCGACCTCCTCATTACCTTCACCCTCTCTGGTCTTTCCTTTTTTCCAAACGTTGCTATATCTTACCCTAAGAACCTCCTCCTTTAATTTCTTAATTTTCACTTTACTCTTACCCACCGAAGTCATTTTCCTTGCGCCCCCACCTGCCTCTTACTCTCATTGTAGCTACCACTTAATAATGATATGATATACTCCATCTGTCGCTCCTCTAATCCTGAAATCTACTCACTTCAACTTTTTATCTACAGATTCTTAGTCCAAAAAACTGCTATCATTTTGTATCTTGTGTTCTTAATTATCCTCATTGTTTAGAAATGTGTATTACCTATATCCAAACCACTTTCTATACATAGTTCAATTAACCCTTGGTACCCCAACTCTTACTCACTACACGCTCTACAACAGTTTCTCTCAACTTAGCATTTAGATCCCACACACAATCATTTTCTACTTCAAAACTTCGTTTACACTCACTGAACATCTCTCCAAATTTCTCTCTTTCCTCTATACTCATTTATCACCCTGGTGTATAAACACCTACTCTTACCCACTTTTCACACAAGCCTATCTGATGTTATCCTGACGCCAAATGACTTCGAACAGGCGATAAATGACATGCCCATGCACTCTGCCCCAGGGCCAGACTCATGGAACTCTGTGTTCATCAAGAACTGCAAGAAGCCCCTATCACGAGCCTTTACCATCCTATGGAGAGGGAGCATGGACACGGGGGTCGTCCCACAGTTACTAAAAACAACAGACATAGCCCCACTCCACAAAGGGGGCAGTAAAGCAACAGCAAAGAACTACAGACCGATAGCACTAACATCCCAATCATAAAAATCTTTGAAAGAGTCCTAAGAAGCAAGATCACCACCCATCTAGAAACCCATCAGTTACACAACCCAGGGCAACATGGGTTTAGAACAGGTCGCTCCGTCTGTCTCAACTTTTGGATCACTACGACAAGGTCCTAGATGCACTAGAAGACAAAAAGAATGCAGATGTAATATTACAGATTTTGCAAAAGCCTTCGACAAGTGTGACCATGGCGTAATAGCGCACAAAATGCGTGCTAAAGGAATAACGGGAAAAGCCCGGTCGATGGATCTAAAATTTTTCCTCACTACCAGAACACAGAGAGTAGTAGTCAACAGAGTAAGTCCGAGGCAGGCACGGTGAAAAGCCTGTTCCACAAGGCACAGTACTCGCTCCCATTTTGGGTTCCTCATCCTCATATCTGACATAAAAAGGGATGTCAGCCACTGCACCGTGTCTTCCTTTGCAATGACACCCGAATCTGCATGTCAGTGTCTTCCATTGCGACACTGCAAGGCTCCAGGCGGACATCAACCCAAAATTTTTCAGTGGGGCTGCAGAAAACAATATGAAGTTCAACGATGAGAAAAATTTCAATTACTCAGATATGGTAAAAAACGAGGAAATTAAATCTTCATCAGAGTACAAAACAAATTCTGGCCACAAAATTGAGCGAAACAACCAACGTCAAGACCTGGGAGTGATCATGTCGGGGGATCTCACCTTCAAGACCATAACATTGTATGAAGGCATCTGCTAGAAAAATGACAGGATGGATAAATGAAAAACCTTCAAAACGAGGATGCCAAGCCCATGATGACACTTTTTCAGTCACTTGTTCTATCTGGGCTGAATATTGCTGCACACTAACAGCACCTTTCAAGGCAGGTGAAATTGCTAAACCTAGAAAATGTACAGAGAACCTTCACGGCGCGCATAACGGAGTAAAACACCTCAATTACTGGGAGCGCTTGAGGTTCCTGAACCTGTATTCCCTGGAACGCAGGCGGGAGAGGGACATGGTTATATACACCTGGAAAAAACCTAGAGGGACTAGTACCGAACTTTCACACGAAAATCACTCACTACGAAAGCAAAAAACTTGGCAGACGATGCAACATCCCCCCA